CGTCTCAGTTATAGATAAAGAGCTCATAAGTTGTTCTTTCATTCTATCGGGTTGACGAAATATCAAAAATGTTCGCCGAAAAAATCCCGTATAATAAAATGATGAAAGTCAATTTGAAATGTGAATAAATACATTTAAATATTAAATTGAGTGATATGCGGTTCTCATGCAGTACATGTTGAATTAAATTGTGGGTTGAGTGCACAATGTGAATGCCCCAAATATATCACAATCATTTCTCATCAGTATAATCATTATCCAGCTATAAATCATTCGTATTCAATTTTTGTAAGCAATGGTATTGAGATCGATAGCCAGCATTCAATCGCAAACTGAATCACTTCCTCACGTAGCATTTGTTATGGTGTGAGCACGTTGCGCGCCACGTCAAAACGTTGATACCAATTGAAAATGAGTAAAGTGTTGTTTTCACACTGACTGTTCCGTGTTGGTTATCGAATAAGAGAGATATAGAGAGAAAAACAAACTAAGAAGCATGTAAATGATTGCAGTGAACAGCAATCATTCCAAAAATAAAAACAAATGAAATAAATATAACAATAATTGCGCTTGAATTTTTAATTTGGATTTGAAACTCCTATTTTACATGAGATTGGATTTTTATTTTCTATCAGCGCGAGTGTTAATTAATATTTTAATTGATTTGTTAATTTGGTTTTCTTCTAGTATGCTCGTTGTGTAGGTAAAATGGAATGCGGCGCGGCATATTGGTGTTTCTCTTGTATTAAATACAATTGAAAAATGCGTTTTCATCCGAGTGTAATGGAAACGAGCGTGTGCGCGCGTACACACGCTCACACTACACGCGCAAATGATGAATCGTTAAAATAGCACAGCATCAGATGAATATTCTCGCATCTGAGCGCATTGTATTCAAATGAAATGAATCTAAATAGGCATAAATTTCGTTTGTTTTCAATTTATTTTCGGCTGCCCAATTTCAATTTTGTTTGTTCGCAATGGAAAAAAATTGCGTTTTTTTCTGTTTCGTGGCTTGCCATCCGTTTTTCGCGCTTGTTTACATATTTAACAGGGGAGAAAATGCATGACAATCAAAACATACGTTTTCCATGGCAACATGAATATCATCAAGCATCATGTTTTTCAGGTGGTTTTATGTTTGGTATCGTGCGCAAATGGGAAAAAATAAACCACATCAGAATGAGAAATATGCATGTAATTATGGAAATGTGGATTGTAGCAATTAATATTGAGAAAAAAACGAGCGCAAGCGAAATTATGTCAAATTCTATCAATCAGCATCCATTTGGCGCTGACGACCGTTCACATGCAATTCGATGTGAATTGATAGTAGAATTTTAACCTGTAATAAATTAAACTCAATAGTCAATGACTGCAAATCGCCTTATGTCTAATGCCATTAGAACTGATTCGCAAGAAGTGCGCGCATATCGCACAACAAAATATGAAGGAAAACTGGTTTTTGCTTTCATTGAACTCACGTGAAGAAAGGCCGTTCGACTCTATCGACCGTACAAAGCCAAAGAAAGTGCCTTTCAATTATACGCATCTGTTCATTGCTTACGCTGTACGTAGCTCTCTTTCATTTTACTCAAAACTCGGTTCGGAGTCAACTTAATTGCGCTATAATTGAATTACACACATTTTATATGGTGGCTCGTAAGACAACGTTCAAAGCCCCTTGAGAATAATAACTAACCCATGGCAATGCTCAATTGCGTTGGTATGGTTACGTTGATATTTCTCTCAATTTCCTTTTGTATATAGTCTATCCCGATCAAACACATTGAATCAACATCAAATACGCGAAAATGTGATGAAAACCAGTTTATTTATTTTTTCTCTACTGCTGTGTCTTTTGATCCATTCATTTTGCATTTCTCTTTATCTGTCGTGTGCAATTTAATGTGTAAAATGCGCGCGACATAGATCCAACGAACGTTACCACAAATAAGAAAACGGCTTGTAATTAGTAAATATTATTTGTTGTTATTTCTGGTACGTTTTCTCCGTTCGTCAAGCTATTTTAGTATGATAAAACCATATACAAAAGAGTTGAAAAGAAAACCGGTCCGCGCTTATTTCCGCGTGGTTCGAGTACCTGTAATCGAAATTGTCGTACAGCGGCAGCAGGCGCAGTCGTTGCAGCTGCAGTTCGTTCACTTCCTATCTAATCGAAAATCGATTTGAAGCGATTCTGTGAGACCTTTTTTTTCAAATGCTCCATACCATTCCTCTGTGAAC